CAGCATCCTCTAAGTGTATTATTCTTTTTAACAAGGAAGTCTGTCTGTGACCCCTTGTTCTTGTCACTCCATTCCAGCAGACAGTGCCAGCTTGCTCTGAGGCCATTTCTGTAGGTGATAAATACTACCCAAGCTCTGAAATACCCTCCCTACTCCATACATTATTTCAAGTATTTTAATCCCTTAATCTATAAACACATACGCTGTGTGACATCTAAGCAGTTATCTGACATAATAATTCATGTTGACTGTGCATATCAGTATGTGTCGTAGGAGAAAAGTGCCAAGCAGTGGTGGAGAGACAAGGATTTAGGAAAATACCTGGGGGGGGGGAGCAATGTCTTGGGATCAGGGGAGACCTACTTGTGTGTGGCATATAACCAACCTACCACCAGTGTGGCTGTGTAAATTCCTTATGTGAGAGTCATAATATCCTCAGATAAGCACCAAATGGAACAGAAGGGACAAGATAAACTACCAGGACCCAAGTTACAGAAGCACATTAATATTTATTCAGTATCTCTTTATACCCTCTAGTCAACATGACAGATGTAGCTGTGTTTTAAGACATTATCATTCACTGAAAAAGGGGAAAAGGAGGTTTTCCCTCCCTCCCCTCCCCAATAATGTCAGATGTTCGCTGTGTACATCGGAGGAAGGAAGAGGAGAGAGGAGCGCTGGTGGGAGAAGAAGGCAATTATTCCAGAGCCTCCTAGTGGGCACGTGCTTCTTCCTTCCAGCTTCACTGATTTGGCCATGGGCCGGGGGCTCGTGGGACATGGACCAGATTGAAAAAGTGGAAACAGACAGATGGTTATTTGTAGTCATCATGTAAATGTAAATCCTATAAACATGTTTTCTTTCTAAGGGCCTGGAAGCTGTTGTAGTGGAAAGCAGGATTAAGGTATGGATATCTAGCCTAGAATAATTTTGACCCTTCCACCTTTCATCCCACTCCATAAACATTGTTGTTTTATCTCTGGCTCCTTTAAACAGATTTCTGGAGCCTCAATCAAGGAAATTAATTCAGTTTCCATATAATTCCCTGAGTTTACGAGCATTGGTTTGACCAAGGCCTGGATTTGGGCCTAAGCTGGCAGGTGCTGGTGAGCAGTTGCCGTGGTAGCGGGGACTTCTTTTTGTCTTTTTTCCTGACTCTGGCAGGTGCCTGGCGTGGAAGCGTTTATCTTGCCGCTGCTGTTGTTAGACGTTGTTTTCGTTATTGCCATCGTGGATACCTGTAAGTGGCCATGCAGGGCTTTGCATCCCTTAAAGACCGATGTGACAGTTCGCAGACATCTATCTTGTTTGAGCAGCATCAGCCTGTTAGAACTACAAAGAGACTGATCAAACTTTAATTAACTTTTGTCCACAGCACTATCGGGTGCTGTACGTGCAATCTAGCTGTCCTTTCTACCCTCTAGCCCTACAGTGCCCTCCCAAGCAGTGAGGCCCTGGGCTCCTGGAGCTCATACAGTATCGAGGCCATGCATGGCCAAGTGCAAGGGAGCCAGCATTGTGGCCGGCTGGTGGAGGGGAGCAGCCCTGCTCTGTTTCACCTGGGGAGCTGGGCCTTCAGCTCTCCAGCCTTTTGTGTCCATTGTTAAATGTCAGGTAACACCGAGGGCAAGCCCAGCCTGTGTTAACACTGGGCTATAGCAAGGAGGAACAGGAGGTGAAGAGGAGCCTGATGGCGGTGCTTCACCTCTTGTGCTGAATGTGTAAAAAAAAACAAAAACCAAAAAACAAAAACCAAAAAACAAACCAAAACAAACAAACAAAAAACCACCACCAACAACTGAGGAAGACTGGCTACATGAGGGAACAAAAGCCACCCCCAGTGCTGGGAGAGGGGATCCGCTCCGGCACAGTTGCAGTTATTTGGAAGTGTATGGCAATTGTGGATAATTGGCTGAGGAATATTCCACAGCTCTCAACTGCTTTTCTGTTTTCACAGATGATTGTGCCATTAGATATGGTGAATGCACTAAGCTGTGCTGCAACTTTTCCATTTACCCTCCTAATACATGTGAGCTCCACTTCCCATTGATGCTCCCTCCTTCTGTTGCTTTCTGTTCTGCTGAGATCTGCCGCAGTGCTGGGGCAGCTGAGCTTGCTGGCCAGCACCCCGAGATCTCCTCCTTCCGGAGCCCCATTGCTTCTCTCTCAGGGTAACGTTTGGATGTGCTGGGATGGCTGTGCTGATCAGATTAATGTCTGAGCTTTGTGTTATCCATGTTATGTTGTGTTAAAAGCACTGAATCAGAGAAATTACAGCCTGTGCCCTCTATTCTTCAGCTTTTATTTTTTCTTTTCCTCTGTGCTTTTGTTCTTACTCTTTTCCTTCTTTACCTGGCTTTTTCTTTTTACTCTCTCTGAAATTAGTTTTCACTGTTTTCCGCTCTGGGCTGTTTTCTCTCTTTTATTTATATTCTACAAATTTTCTGTTATCTCTCTCTTTCTGTCCTTGCTTTATTTTTCCCTATTTCATTTTTCCCCACCATTTTTGTTTTTTTTCCCAAACACAGAATGCTATAGATGGAAACACTGAGATATATCTATTCAAGATTCACGTATGTGTTGAGGTACAGAGCAAGATTAAGTAAACCCTGTAGCATCAATTTTGTCTTCCATTCAAGCCACATTTGTAGTAGGACTTGGGTAAAGGAATGTGATAAAATCAAATCTGCCTCATATTCTCATATTCTGCTGCTGATTGGAACTTTGCACAGTCGCTGGAATGATTCAGAGAAAGTTAATGTAATTTGCTATGTATCACCTCAAGAAACTGTGTTTGTCAGCTTCATATAGCTGTGTGTAACATTCAGGGAAAATGATTTCCTTGGTATTGCTGTCAGGAGTATAAAGTCATGATGTAGGATCTGCTGATTTTCTGGGGATTTTCCACTAATGGATTTGCATTGGAGCTTTGTAATTATGCAAAGAGTCAAGCCAATAAAAATTAATACTAGTTTGTGTGTAATCATAATGGAAGAAGTTGATGTATCCTGTCTGTTTACCAGTTGCGTGAAAGAGAATATCACTGCCCAGAAGTACTTTTTTTTTCTTTTTTTTTTTTTTTCCCTGTATCATAATGATCACGGAGACACATGAAGATGCTTCCCAAAATAGGTGGTTTTGTATGAACTTTTTTTTTTTTTTTTTTGTGGTTCTTTCCCCGAGGCTGCTAAAGTATTATCTTTCGTGGCTTTGTTTGAAAAATGGTGTAATTCCAAATAGTCAACAACCCATGATCTTCAGCTTATTACTTCTGTGTTGTGCAGTTCTTAAGTTTATTCCGTTTCATTTTGAAGCTCTATAAATTCTATTTCTGTCAGTTTGAGTATTGGGAATCAAAGGATCAAAGGCATAGAGTGATTTGTAGTAATCAGAAATATTTCATGGTTGAGTCTTTCATTATCTGTTGGGGAAAAAAAAAAAGTATCTATTTGGTGTGTTTCTTGAGAAGAATGTGTTCTGTGTTCTTGCCAGAGTTGCATCCATTGCCAATTGTGTCCTATCAATGCTATCTTACGCTTGAAGAGCAAGACCTAAGTAATCATTCTTTTCTTTTTTTTTTTTTTCTTCCTGTTAGAAAAAGAATTAACTGCCAATTAATTTCCTCCTTCCTTTGGGATCTACCTGTGTATCCCAAAATGCAGAACAATAAAAGTTACCTTGTATGTCATTTTGGGTGCCACACTTATACAGCCTGCTCACCTCAGCCCATTCAGAGACCAATTCTTATATGTATTAATCATAGTTTCTTGTGTCTTATTACAGAACAGAAAAATATTCAGTTCCAAATGTTAAAATGGGGCACATTTTATTAACATCAAAAGCAGTAAATTATCTCTGCTTATGAAATGAGACTGAGCAATTTCTGCTGAACTCTTCCTGACTTGCCCCTTCACTAGGATACGGTGTTTTCTAATTTCTCAGAGGGCCCTGCTTCCATTAAGGGCAAGAACTGTTTTAAAGCTGTAATGAAAGCCATACATAGCTGAAATTCAAGTAGAGGAAATGCCCTAAATTCTATTTCAGTAGCTCATCTAGAGATATTTTCAGTTTTATATTTATAAGAATGTCAATTAACCTAGAGACTAGGACACCCATGGAAGAATAACGATGAAGTGGATGTCATTTTAACACACTGAAGTCAGGTAGTTGGACCTAAATCTTCTTTATAGGAGCTTGATTTACATAAGAAGCTAGCATGTGTTGCCTAATCTAATTTTCAAGCAGCTTGGTGATTTAAATGCTTTTTGCTTTCAATGTTGTCAGACAACACTGGTCAAAGTTGCAAATACATATATATTAAAAATAAATAAATAAATAAATAATGTGGAAGAACACTGGCAGTGGCATGGTTTCAGTTTCTCCTTTCCAAACTGGTGATCAGTTAATCATGTATTGGTGATAACAATAATAGTAGTAAGACTAGTAAGAGTAATAAAAATAATACTCTTAATCAAAGTGCAAGTCAGCAACAAAGTACCAGTTGGGTCACTTCCTTATCTAGCTACTCAAGTTGGAGATCCAAGCAAGCCAGATACTCAGCATGCTGTTTTCTGTTATGAAGAGAACCAATATCAGACCTGCACTACCACTTTTACAGTACTACTTTTCCCATAATGGGAAGTGACCCTGTCAGCACTAAAAAGACAAAAATACTAATGGGTGCTACAGATCTTTTATTTATTTATTTATTTATTTATTTATTTAAATACAGGCTGGTGTTTTTATCTGGAGGGAAAAACAAAAAAAGGCATCTATATCAAATCTGCTTCCATTGAATAAAAAGGTCATACCTCACCAACTTATTTTATGAGGCATTTTGTAGTAAACATAAGATACAAAGTCATCACCTAATAATAGTTGAGCAGTGTTTTGTTGTTTTTGTTTTTGTTTTAATTCTACATATATATATTTTATCCCCCCACTTACAATGATGGCACTCCTAGTAATTTTGTTCTTCTCTCCCTCATTTTCGATGTTAGTGCTACGAGATGACTTCCGCCAAAACCCTACAGATGTTGTGGTGGCAGCTGGAGAGCCTGCCATATTGGAGTGCCAGCCACCTCGTGGACACCCTGAGCCTACCATCTACTGGAAGAAGGATAAAGTCCGCATTGATGACAGGGAAGAGCGGATCAGTGTGAGTACAGCTTGGGTGGTTGTTCACCCAACATATATGGGACCTGCAATAAAGCTGAGTAGCTGAGCATGGTAGACCGTCATAGCTTCAGGTCTTTCTCCATAGCTAATCATGTACACCACTGAAGTGGATGTCAGAAACTGCACGGCTTTGAGTTTGCAGACCCTCGGAGTAGGACAGTCTTGTGCTGTGTGAAGTGGTGGAAGGACAGAGAGAGGAGCCTTGGCTTCTGAAAATGCAGAGGGAGAGAGGGAGAAATATAATGTATTCACCTTTCCCACAGAGACTTCTTGTTGCACTTGACAGTTTTTGTCCGTGACCTTTCCTAAATGAGGCGTAAAAGTTGTTTATTTCTACTGGTTTAAGTGTCCAGCTTGAACTTCCTGAGGCTTGCTTTGTGCACCTGTTGCAACTAAAGTCTGTTAGAGCCTAGATTTGGTTGTGTAAAGTATGCTATTCGATGTGAGCTGTCTCACCTTGGGACTCAGTGGATCTCTTTGACCAGTTTGGCCTTATCTTTTCTAGATCTCACTTTCCCGAAATGAAAACAATATCAGGCTTTATTTCAGAGAGCTGTTTGAAAGATAAAACCAGTCATATCTATGAGATATGCAAATACTCTCTTAGAAAACAAAACAAAACAAAACAAAAAAAAACACTAACTTAGGATTACATTGGTAATGTTGAATTTAGTATAGTAATTGGGATGTATGTTCTAAGCAAAGACTAAAGTTATACTTAAAGAATGATTGTCCCTGAATAGGAATACGTATTAAATAAAGGAGAAAAATTGTTTGATTTTTGTGATGGATCATTCCGTGAACTGAATGAAAAAAGTTCCAGCAGAGAGAATTATCTTATCAAGTGAATAGAAATGATATAACGGTCTGTGCAAACTAATGGGACAAATGAAGGGTGTGTGGACATAATTCCTAATTTTTGAATGTTAATTTTTTTTGATCCTAGTTTTTGAATGTTGTTTTTCACTATTGATATTCATTTAATAAAGTTTTATATTGTATGTAGGGATATGTTATTCATTCAGTGCTGATGTTATTCGATGTGGAAGTACTGTTAGGAACTTGTTCATTGCTTTGGATGCCTAAAGAAGTATTCCAAGCTAAACAATCCAAATAGTTGCTATTTGTGGTATTATGGGCCATCCTGTTTCTGCTAGTCTACTCAAGAATAGAGGAGGAACGTAGAGTGGCAGGGAGATATCATTCCCTGACTCTCCAGTTTCTTTGGCTATATTCCAAGTTTATTTTGAAGCACTGCATTCATGTTCTAACTTTTAACCTGCAATTTTGTTACTTTATTTCTTTCACCTACCCTGCTTTTTCTCTCTATAAATATCCTTTATACCCAAGAAAACATTAAAGCTTGTGGGAGTCAGGTGAATTCTCAGTTTGGGCTACATTCAATCTGTTTGCATCAAGGAGAAGAGAAAATCTGTCTTAAATCAGTGAACAAGGAAACTGTTCAGGCACCAGTAACAATAAAATGAACTAACTAAATAAACCTGAGTGAAACTGCCTTTTTCCTCAGAGAGATGTCAAAAGTGCTTTACATATCATCACGCAAGAAATGCAACCACTCTGCATTGCCAAAGAGGTAGCAAGGAATGAAAGTGTTTGAAATGTAATGCATCTAATGAAAAATAAGGGGATAAAATGAAACACATCTAAAATCAATCAGTAAGATAAAATGCATTCTAGAGCAGCATAATGATATTTAGTTGTATGGGATTATTATTTTTTTTAAGCCTTTTATATATTTACAAACAAAATATTAAAATGTTTAATTTGTGGAATTTGCCTGAGTGTGTATCTTTTTCTGATATCTTTTGTTTATCTGAATTTAAAAATATGTTTCTTGTTTTGAAACAGATACGTGGTGGAAAACTAATGATCTCCAATACACGAAAAAGTGATGCTGGCATGTACACTTGTGTTGGAACCAACATGGTGGGGGAGCGAGACAGCGATCCAGCAGAGCTGACTGTCTTTGGTAAAGCTACTCAAGCTTTTGTTTCCTTTTCACTACAAATGTTATATATTGAATTGATCTAGGTGACTCATCAGAATATGAGACAAAATCAGGTTAACAAAATGCAATAGCATTGCTTAAGCTGCATTTTGTAGCTCCTGATTTTAAAGGCTGGAATTTATAGTGATGGAACGGTGATTGCCCAATATTTTCCTTCTAAGCACGTAGTCTAAATTTAATTGGAGGTCCTTAGTGATATGCATATGCTTAGAAACGGTAATCCAGGACATAATGCTCTCCCTCACAAAATTGCCAAATGTAATTGAGCCACTTCTAATACAGTTGACAATGCCTACTTAACAGAGATTTGGACCAGCATTGCCTATTTAAATAATTACTTATTCCTGTGGGGTTGTGAAATCAAACAGTTGTAGGAGAGCACAGCAGAGCACAGTGGACCAGTAAAAAGTCATTAGAGAAAATCCAAGATCAAGTTTTTGAATGTATAGAGGTATGTCTGTCATCTGTTTTTTAAAGGGCACAAAGCAGCTTTGCATCCTGAAAACCAGGGCATTATTTTGGTTTCTGGTGTTGCTGAATGAATCAGAAATGGATATGTGAGGGCCTAGAGCAAAAATAGAGTAATACTGATTCTAGGCTGGATCCATCCTGCTAACAACTGGATAAGAAGCAAAGCCATTAAATCCTGCTGTGGTACATCCTGTAGTCATGACATTTCTATTTACCATTAGCTGTGGTTCTGTAGGAATCAGTGATGAGGTCTTGAGCAAACAAGAGAAAATCAATAAGGAAAAAAAACCCTCATTGCTACAAATACATACATACAAAAGAGAAAGAAATATCACTAATGCTTCCTCCTTGATAAAATACTGACATTTCAAACAAGACTACTTGTAATTCTAGTAAGATTTTCCATAGGTATCCTGAACTACTTTGTAAGGCAGGTGCTCTTAATTTGTTCACTTTCTGCTTAATATAGTGCACTGGAAAACCCGATCACAAATACTACTGTGTTTGCATGTATGTGCAGTTCAATATTTGTTTGTCCACTGTAAAAGACACATTATGGTATTCACAAAAGATGCAGAAAAGTTTCTGCTTGACAAGATCTGTGAGTGAATGAGGATTTGGTGCTCTCTGGCTGTGAAGGCTTCCACTCTACTTATTTTGTTATGTATTTGTGGAAGCACGTGACTTAAAAAAAGAACTAATATACCTTAAAAACAAACAAACAAAAATAAAAAAACAAAAAGGAATCTCCATCAATTTATGTCCTTTATGTCCTGTTGAGGTTGTGCCTTTATACAGATGTTAAAGAGACATGATGTATCTTCTTCATCAGTTTAAATACTGATAATCTCTGTTATTACTCCCTGTGGATAGCAAGCAGATTGCAGTCCTAAACTACGAAGCCTTAAGAAATCCTTAAGAAAAGAATATGTTAAAAATTTGTTAAAACTCATATAATACAATTGAAGTCTAATTTGCAAATAGGGAACAAAATCAGCTATAAATTAAATTAGAAGTTTTAATTCTTCATTACTGTGTTAGTCTATTTAAATAAAAACTGTATTTAAAATTCCCTTTCCATATGGATATCTTCCTATCTAAAATTCTTGGGTGGCCATCTAAAGGTGGCTCAGCTTTGCCTTCCACCAGCAGAACAGTTTCACTCCTTTCCCGGGGTACAGGCACCAGCTCCTGTGTGCGTGTGTGGGTGTGTGAGTATACGGTGCACTGGAGAGCATTATCCGTGATGTTTACAGGAAGTAATGCATCTACTGGACAGTCCAATCAATCTAAGCATACACAATAAATCCAATAAATCCAGCAACTCTGGGAAACATCAGATTGGTTGTGCATGTTCAGATTGACTTCACTGGACACAGGCAAAAACACATCATCTGTTAAGTCCACAGCCTTCCTGTGCATTCATAATAATATGAATCACAGTTTTGGGAAACGTGTGCAAATAGTGCAAATGTTGAGAAACATATATTAAAAATATCATAATGCTTACATTATTATTCAAGAGCCCAACTTCAACTGTTTTGAACATATTTGAAAATAGGTTTTATATTTAAAATTGAAATATTAGCTAAAAGGCTTAGAAACTGTAATAATGCGGCTGGTAAGCCTACAGCTGGTGCTGATTCTGGAGAGGAAGGTGTATTATTTAGCTGATTATTAATGTTCCTAATGTTTTTCTGAATAACAAACACAGAAAACCCTTTTCATACTGTGAAAGCAGCCTTAGAAAACACACTCCTCTGTAGGAAATGGAGCTGTTTCACACTAGTTCTCAAGCCTTTCCAGGAATCAGCCACTTGTTACTTTTGGCTCTGCAAGTTTTTCTGTAATACTTGAAGTTAATTTCTGCATGTCACTTGTGACAAGTCTCTGGCTTGTGCAGTAAATTTAGCTCGGGGCATGGCCTGTGGAAAAACTGAGTCAGTGTGGTGGTAACTGGTGGCCTAATGGGAACAGCATGGAAGCCTAGCCTGAAAGATTACACCTTTCCTGAGTAAAAAGTAAAATAAAATAAAATAAAATAAAAAGTGCAATAAAACCCTTGGAAAGAAATAGGAAGAGAAAATGAGAGTTTCCCTTATGTAGAATGTATTTACTCAGATGGGTACCCATTCAATAACATTTGCTGAGAGATCTTTGTGAATGATACCTGTAGAGCCCTCACAAAGCAAGCCATTTTCTTCCAACCCCATCTATATGGGAAACATAGTTTTCAACATTGAGGCACTCACCCAGAATGAGGATGCTCAAGCCTACTGTTAGCATCTGTGCAGATTGCATTTCTTTTGTTCCCAAGTCACGATTCTTCAACAAGCAGAAATTTTGTGAAATCCAAAATTTTCACAGTAAAATATCATAAATAAAATTGATTATGTAATCAGTGCTTCCCAAAATTATTCCTATGTTTTGAATATTGACAACGATTGCATGAGATTTTGTTAGTGTTCTCCTTCAAACACTACTGGTAGTTATTGTCTTTTTGAGGCTCCAAGGTATTATCTTGGAGTAGATCAAGAAGACCGAGTACCTCAGAGCCTGAGGTGGCCTTTAAGTAAAGGTAAGAACTAATCCATCAATCCTAACATTCCCCAAAAGAGACAGCACGGTATTTTATTATTATGTACACATATTCTAAATGCCAATTCAGAAGCATGATACAAATTAAGCAGCTTTGTGTTTAGGCTCATAGCCTTTGACTGAACAAAAATCAGGCAAGATGCAAAGCAGAAACAGTTCCATTTCAATTTGTAAGAAAGCTTGGTTTGTAAATACATAATGTGGAGCCAGAAATAAAATAAAAGGAATAACTGTTAACGTTTTATAATTTTGTCATACTATTGCAGTGTTACCAAACAAGTTTTCAAGATGGTTTAACTCTTTCAGACTCCTTTTTGTTCCTTTGGACTTTAAATGTTATGTTTGAAGAGAATGTACAAAGGTGTATCTTGTATATTGATTCTGAAGCTCAGTGAAATCAATGAAAGCCTTAATATATCGACTTCAAGAGGCTGGCACCAGGCAGTGGAAAAAGATTGAGATATATTTAGAAGAGCCTCAAAAGAATGTAAAGTATAACTAATAAGAGTACAAAAATGTCTTAAAAGATATGTCAATTCAGACATATTAAAGATTGTTTTGGATTAATCTTTGATTTTAGCTTTGGTGCCTGAACCTTTCTTCAGCTAATAAGGTCCTCTGGGATGAAGAGGTATTTTCTTCTGATGCTCGAAGAAGTATTTGTGTTTGATGTTTTTGTGATATTGTCAGGCTGAAAGAGATACCGTAGTTCCAGCAAGAATATACTGTGATGACATGATGTTAGAGAAAGAAATCCAAAAACCCCTTAATGAAGACATTGTACCTCATTTTTCTACTGAGAATTCTGACTATATGGAAGGCCGTAGCAGAGAGTCTAGTCCCATCATATCTTTCAAATCAGTCCCAGAAGATTTCCCAGCCAGAAAAAATGCCTAAATCAGGGTGTACATTCGCAGTTTAAGACAGAGAGGTTGACATTCCCTATTTTGTCCCTCAGATCAAAAGTCCTTCTGTTTTTCTTCAAATCCTTTTACTTCCCACTTGCAGTGTGCTTGTGGTAGTTTGTAAAGAATCATTGTAGCTTTGCAATATTTGCTGTCTGTGGGTACTAACAAATTGAAATAGGATGATACAACTGTGAAAAAGGGTCCGATTGCTCTCTGAAGTCTGTTCTTCATACTCAGTAGAAATTGTTTCTGAAATTAAAACCACGGTAGATAGATACAATATGAAGAAAACACGTTTGATAAAAATCAGTCTAGGTCATTTGCATGTTTCTCCATGCACTCACTGTGCAAACTTACTGCATTTTGTTAGTACTGTGCAATGTCTGCAGAAGTGTGCAATATCTACACAACTCCTTATTTCTCAAACAAAACAATAATAAGTGCATGAAAAGAGGAAGTAGAAGAATGTCTTTAAATAGTAAAATATCTACTTTTGCAACTATATTTTCATTTATTTGGTCAGCATCCTGTATGCTGTCTGCTTCCTCATCTTCGTTTTTGGCAGACAGCTTTACTTTATCCAGCTCATGATGCAGGTAATGAAATAGCTACAGTTTTGACAGCATTCTGAAATGAAACTTACTTCTTATCACCTAATGTTTCTTTTTTCCTTTGCATCAGAACACTAAGGTGAAAAGAAACTCTTTTTTAAAAAAAAATATTTGCTATTAAATACCTCCCAAAACTCATCCTTCTAACTCGTGTTTGAATGCTTCTTTTTAGATCAGGAGAACATTTTTAAAAAATGATGCCTTCTCCCAGTCAACAAGGAGAAAGCAGTTCTAAATCAGATTGAGTCTCCACATTATGGGGACCATCAAATCCTTCACTCTAGCAGTTGCCTCAGCAGACAAAATATATTAAGGCAGTTAGGATCATTTTAATTAGATTGAGGTCCCATATATGGCTGTCTAACTTTTTGAGGAACAGAGAAAGGGCAATAATACATCTGAGGGTCATCCGAATCTCTCTAATAGAGTGTGATACACAGACCAATTGTTAAATAGAGGAAAAATTGAGTTCAGGGGTTTACTTCTGTCAGCAGCCAAAGCAAGGAAGGGTTTTCTTATGTTTCTGGCTTGGATCAGTTCTGTAATTTTCTTGTAGTGCCTATCTCAGGCACTGCAACATACTGTAGGTGTGTGCCCAGATTGCATTAACAATCCCCTTTTATAACTGCACGCAGAGTTTATTCTGAAGTTATAAAGGTCACCCCAGTAATAGTACAACTGGTTGACATGACATATAACCATGACCTATTTTATAGTTCTCTTCAAAGATTTTTAATATTCATCAGTGAAAGCCTGGGAAGTAGGTATTTTATTTACTCAGAGAAAACTTATAAAGTAACTATATTAAAAATTTTATATATGTCCATGATTTTAATGTATTACCCTTTTGTTTCTCAAATATATTGTGTTCTGAATGCTGTTGACAGAGTAACAATATTTAATTACACCACAAGGCTTTATTTGTGGGTGAATCATTTAAAAAGAAAAAAAAAGTCACAAGGTATTTTCTGAGGTTTGGCTCTGAAACTGTATTTGACCTGGCTGTGCAAAGAAATCTTCTCTATTTAGCACGCTCAGGCAAACTCTGTCTCCTGAGAGATTAACATTGTAAGCAAGTTATGCAGGTGACTCAAATCCAGTTAATCTCACATAAAGAATGTTAATTGCATTGGCAATGGCATTCCCTCTGATCACTTTATTGCTGTATAATTAGCTATTGGACATATTCAAGGGGTTGTCTAAGTGATACAAATCCAGGAAACAACATGAAAGAGAACTTATTCTTTCCGGATTCACACTGTACAAAATGCAGAGATGAAGAAATGGAAATAGCATTTATTGTTATTTGTGTGTCCTTGATAACTGTGGTCCGTACTTCCATAGCTATCTATTTTCTTGCAAATATGTAACTGTTTTGGAAAATACACAATTTGAGAAGCTGATCTGAAACAAACATGTATATGCTCCTAGATTGTCTTGGTCTGGAATCAAGTAATTTACCTAATGATCTTTCAGCCATTTACTGTCTCATCAGCTGGGTTCTCCTCAAAATGTGATAGGAATTTATTTTATTATCTCCTGTAGAGAACCATTTACAGCCACAAATAGCAATTTCATAAACATGAATATGTTTATTTCTTAGTTGTTTACAGGCAGCTTTTGTAAGGAGGGTCTGAGATAATTTTTGCATGCAGACCAAGCAAACATACCAGCACATGCAGATTTATTAAAGTTCAAAGTGAATGGACCAGGGCTTCTAAATCACCTATAAGGATGCTGATCTGAATCTAAATCTCTTGGCTAAAGATCATCTCTTGAAAAATAAATTCCAAAATATAGAATGTGTTGTTTGTGAGCTCAGAGGAGGCATTGAGCTATGCTTTTAGGTGAGAAATTCTGGATAAGATACTGCTGCAAACGTAAAAAAAAGTTTAATTAAGATATTCCCTTTTAGATCCACGTATTTACAGACAGGCCAAGAACTTAGAATTTGATGCGAAATTGTTGCTACTATACCAGAGATGTAATTTTTTGCCTTCCCAAATAATTTTCACTAAGCTTAGCCAATTATGCACCTCTTGAAATAAATAAGTAAACTCATACTCCTGAGAGACCGAGTAGAGTATAGTTCTGAGCAGCGGTTTTCCTCCAGTGCAGTCTAGCATTGCTGTCAGTCTCCTGCAATGATGTCTGGTTACTTCAACCAATTTTTCTTGTATTAATACTCTGGATGGGCTGTATCTGGATGGCACAGAGAAAAGAAGCTCCAACTCAAGTGTAGTTCAAATATGTAATATAAAATTACATCAGTTTGCTAAAATGCACAAAGAATTTAGAGGCATGAATACATATATTTGGAAGGGAGACCAGACTTGCACATTTCCTGGGTTGAGGCTGTGAACGGCAATGTTCTGGGCTAGGAGGAGACAGGCTGAAGAAGCAGGCTGCAGCTGGGAAGAGCTGGCACAGCTTACTAGCTGGAGCAGAGGTGGCCATGAGGCATTCTCACAGGCTAGACAAGACACAAGGTCAGGGTAGGTGCAAGCCTAGCTGGGACTGGGAAGGATCAGGAGACTGCATGCTCAGGGAAGGAAAAATCTGGTGGGGCACACTCAGGGCAAGGAGCTGTAACAAAGAATATATACGGCTGGCTGATACACAGGCTTGAGACAGGGAATGAAGACTGGATTTCAAGGGGCAGAGGGAGACCAGAACTGCATTTACTTGCCCAAATGCTACTGCAACCTGCCAGCACAGTGTGTAGAAAAACAATGAAAAGTGAGAGAATAGCAATGGCTTGGGAGAAATGGGGAAAAGAAGTCTGTCCTTTAGACTTGTTATTATCTTTAGCACCTGGAAAAGTGCTGTTGATCCTTGAATGTGTCAATTCTTCTGCTGACAAAATACATTTTTCTCTGCCACTAGGTACCTCTGGTAGTATCATGTAATTCCTATGTGATATTGTGTCACTCTTATAAATATTTATTAACAGTTGGCTTTGTGTTCCTTATTTTCTGACTTAATATTCTGATTTGTGAGAGTGGTAAACATTTTATCAGCTGTAACTGAATTCAATGGAAACTGAGCTTCAAGCATACAAAATTCATGCTGAATTCTCATGAAAAAATACGTTGGCAGTTTTGTGTCTCAAGTTGGGCATGAAGATTTAGCAGGTTTTTTTTTTTTTTTTTTTTTTTTTTACCTTGCTTTCTTAGATCTCCATCACACCTCAGAGAGGGGCTATGAAAGTAGGTGAATTGTTTATGAAGCATTAAGATAGGTGTAATGGAGATTGTGAGGAAATTAATAATTCTCTCTTTGAAGTGAGATTTGAGAAGTATGACAGGAGGCCACCCACTAAACAGTACAACTAAAGCAAAATATTAAACACCTGCTCATTAAATGAATACCAACAATCTGGAGATGTTTGGGGAAGAAATAGTTTGTGATCATGTAATTGCAACCAGTCCCATAAGGCATAAACAGAAAGGGAATGATGAAAGGGCATGCAGACAGACTTAATTCTGACACTTCTGGCACTTAGGTGATGCACACTCGATTTTGCAATCTTATTAATGTTCTTTTAATGTTTTTTTCTTTTTTTTTTTTGGTTGTTGTTTGTTTGTTTGTTTGTTTAAATTTTCATATATTAAATATGGATACCAAGCCTATAAACTCATCTCTGTTGTTATCAAGACAAACTGCCTGAGTCAGAATCTCGTATTGCTTACATTTGTGTGAATTTTGAATAATTTTCTAAGTGACATCATAGCCTTCAAGTTGCTGAGAATGAAATGTGAAATGTAGTGTGTAACCGGTTTTAAATGCCTGTGTAATAAATCGCTGTCTTGAGTGGAAATAGTGCTTCATATAAACCCAGTCTTATAATGGTTTGTCTCTGGTATAAATAATTTATGACAGTGAAAGTGCAGTATGGCTGGAAGAGGACAGAACCAAATTTATGCAATCCAAAGGCAACTTGGAAACTAACCCTGGTGACATCCTTTCAAATGAAATTACCGGTACTCTGAGTTTGTACCAGTGTAACTGAGATCAGATTGTGGCTCTGCATCTGGATTTCAAGCAGGCCTGTGCTACATTATGATGATTAATTATATTTGTAGCTGTGCAGGCTAACATAACAAGGGTAAACAGAACTGATTATTCAAACCTTAATTTAGTTTTCTGTGGTGAAGTTAGTGATGGGGATCAGGGAAGATTTGACCTCGATACAATAGCCCTCGATCAGCTGAGCCGCATAACACAGAGTTTACGTTTTCCTCCGAAGCATCCAGGTATTGATTATTGCCGAAGGCGGGCTGTCTCCGCTGGCAGCTCGTATATTGCTAGAGCAGACAGCAGCTCTTAAATCACACTCCATGCGTGCAGCAGTGCACAGCCAAAACATTCACGCGGAAGGGCACGGTCTTGAAGACGTCCCCGGTGGTGTGACAGGCAGGCAGTTGGGGCTAGTGCGTGCTTCATGCTGGTGGCACTTGGCTTTTACGTGAGGGCCAGACGTGACAGTCGCCGCATCTCCAGCCTGGCTGTCGTTGTCCTGGCTGCTGATGCACATCATCAGTTCCACTTGTCTGAATTCGCGGAGCTCAGCCCTCCTTTCCGCCTTCCGTGAGTCGGTAAACAAAAAGATGCTGAGAAGTCAAAAGTTTTCATGTCAGCCCTGTGACTCACTGAGGAATTCTGATGTCTCTTTTCTAGAGCGGCCCACGTTTCTCAGGCGGCCGATTAACCAAGTGGTGCTGGAGGAGGAGGCCGTGGATTTCCGGTGCCAGGTGCAGGGGGACCCACAGCCGACCGTCCGCTGGAAGAAAGATGACGCAGACCCGCCGAGAGGAAGGTGAGAGTAGCGTTCGTGTTCCCAGTGCTTTCAAATTGCCGCTGTCGAATGACCCTGGAACCACTCCCAGCTAGATTTATTTCCCGTGTTTCTGGTCTTTGGCAATACAAACTGTGTTCCAGAGCCAGCTGAGTAGGGAAATCCACTCAGCTGGGCTGTCCAGCTTGTGGATTCCTGTGAGAGGAAGAAAATTGATGTGTAGATGTCAACAGATTCAATTCACTGCATTGCTGGAGAAAAATAAGGATGTTTTAGGGACTGTACCAGTGATAATAGCCTTCATAGCAATGTGTTGACACCAAAAGAGAGAAAGTTTGGCTGGAGAGCCCAGAGCTTCTCTGTCACATTTATGGGGTGGGTTAGAGGCAGGGCTTTGTTGGCTCCTTTGCTGATGTCAGTTGGGTCTCAGAAAGAAATCTTCCTCTGGAAAAAGCAAAAGAAACAAACTATCAGAAACAGAAAATAAAGATGAAATCTGGAACAGGGCATTTGTGTTCAAGAAAGATTCATTTAATCTGGAACAAATTCCAGAGTGATCAGGGTAAGAGAGTCTGTCTTACAAAACAACATTGAATTACCTTGGCTCCTTTCAGCTAGCAGAACAGAGTTTGGTCCTTGCTTTCCAGAACTCTTCCTATGTTTGATGCTGAACCATTTTTAGATTAAAATATCTTAAAACAGAAATAGGTTTGGGAACAGGAATGAGAATCCAAGTCTCCATAGCCTGTCTTCTCTTTTGACCCTGTGACTCCTAATTCATTGTTTGCACAGTGTTTTTAAATTAAAGAGAAGATGTGAAGAGTGCTGCTTTTTTCCCACTGTGCTTGATTGTTGTTTTCCATCAGTGTTGTTTCCTTGGATGTGGCAGATATAATTTGAAGAAAAGGAGAACATCTAGATATTTTCTTCTTCAAACAAGTGCTTTAAACACTGCATTTATCCTGTGTAGGCTAGTTGCCAATATTATTTCTGCTTCTCCAATCATGACCACAAAAAAAAAAAAAAAAAAAGAGCAACTGCAATGTTGTTTGTGTGACTAGCTTGATCCTGTCAGAGTATATTAAGTGTGCCGTGAACACACTACTAGATTGGGCCTAAGTAAAACAAGTTAGACATTGTGGCCTTCTTTCTTAATCACAGCCTGTCTTACGTTTTCACCCCAAGATGGTAAAATGTGGTAAGACTGTTGTCTGGCAGTCTTCATCCAGTTGCTAAATATGGCATTTAGTGTCACATACAAATTCATGAGAAATGATGGCAAAATTCCTTGGAATCACGCAGTGTGCAGTCATCATTATGTCTAAGGTTAACGTCACTTGTTTCTCAACATCTAAATCTTTAATAAAATAAAAAAAAAATCAAATTGGAGAATACCTGTTTTAGATTCCACATCCTCAACTCTATAAGATGTCTTAAGTGAATATGCAATTATTTAATTGAATATATTAGTGTATGTATTAATGTAATGATAATGTATATTCTAGAAAAAGACAAAAACATTTCTGTTTTAACAGAAGAGATACATATAAATGTACATACATTTTAAAATAATCTCTCCTTGCGACTTAAATTAAATTTGACATAGTTTTTTTACCTAATTATTTAGGTAGATATGTACGTATGTAATGTGTAGAATATTATTTTGAAGAGCAGTCTTTTGGATGGCAAGATGAATTTTTCCTTGCTATTTAACCATGCATTGCAAAGTATCCCATAGTAAATGCATTTTGCTGCTGTGATTTAGTCCGACTATTGTGCTGCTTCTGTTGTTTAAATCATGTCTTCTAGGTCTCATAGGCAGAACTGATGAATTGACAGTGCCTTTGATAAGGTTGCACATTGCATTAGTTTTTTTTTGGGTGTGGTTTTTTTTTTTTTAATGGCTTTATATTCCTTTTTTATCTATTTTATTGTGGAAAAACTTAAGTACTGTGTATATTGAGGTAGCTTCTCTTCATTCATGATGAATGAATGATTTCTAGGAAAGAAGAAATGTAACAGGAAATGGGAGAGTTTACTATGCTTTTAACTAAGCGAAGGGCAGGTTCATCAGATACACTCTGATGATACTCAACTTCAGGCTCAGAAACTATTCACAGTGTTCAGCAGTGTTTTTACACTGCATTTACACATTTAATTTACCGTGGTTTGGCATCTTAAGATAGAAAGGGAGGGTATGTCTTCAGTTACGTTGGCTTCTCAGAACATGACAGTGAGGAACGGGCAAATTTGAGGGGTCCCATGCTGAAGACCACCTCGGGTGGTAGAGGACTGCCACTGCTGCTGTCCCAGTGGCAGTGCTGCTTTAAAAGCAAATACCTTCAGTGATTGGGAGTGTATGTTTTATTTTTCAAAATATATCATATTGCATAAGAGTATATGTAAGCAGAATCCTAAGTATCCAAAGAGTGGAAATTTCCAAACCATGTTGTTTAATGAAGGAGGGTAAACTTGGGATATGTGAAAGAAAAGGTATAGTTTTTCTTGATTTTTTTTTTTTAATGCAAGCAAAGAACTTTACCTGGGTGTAGTTTGAATGAATGGAAGAGAAAAATAAAAATGTGACCATTTTATAAACTGAGAAGAGTATTCCTAAGTTTTTCCTTCTTGAAGAAATACAAGATTTTCTTTTTTTGAGGTTAAAATAGCAAGTGGCTTTCATCTCCAGAACTCCTGTATTTTAAGCATTTTAACATCTACAGTGGATTATGAAATCCTTAAGGAATACCCTTTGTTATTCTTTCTGCGTAAATAAATCCCTTTTTCTGAGCAGATCTGTACAGCTATTTGTCTTATAGCTTTCAGTGCCAATTTCCTGTTTCCACAGCTAATGATGTTCTTTGCACATCTGTCTGTATTTTGTTGTTGTTGTTTTCCAATCATTTCCTTTAGGCCACATCCCTAGTTTACAAAGTGATTATAGTAGGTACCTGTTTCAACAAGTATTGCAAATTATTGAATTTTTCTGTTGTTAGTTCAACTTTCAAAAATGTCTAGGCCAGTGATAGTGAAGTGGGATAAACTAAATTATCAATTTTTGCATGCATTTTGTTTCTGTAATTTGCTTCTGATGAATGCCAGTATGACTGATACTAGACTAGAGTCTTTCAGAAATCCTTCTCTGTTTTTCCATCTTACTTTCTTTTAGCCTTTTTACATGTGAAAGCAAAGAGAAAAGTAATCACAGTAATTTCTGGTGACAAATATAAACAGTATTGCTCCACCAATTGGTGTGTTGAGTAATAATTGGAAAATAATTTCAGGCTATTATAGTTTTAATTATAAAAGTCCCTGATGAACTGTAAACATTTCCAGTTGCAGTTAGAATGGAGATGGGGGGGGGGGAGGAAGACTTCTAAAAAAATAAGTGTTTGAAAATATGAAAATAATAAAAAGTCTTAATGTGGCTATTTTGTTTAATTGTCCTTATAATTACCCAGAAATTTAGGAACAATCAAACAATCATGCTTTAAAAGTGAGAACAGATGGGCAGAAGTTTATTTTGCATGTAAAAGTCTTCAGTCCACATTTTTGCTGTTTTGAATTAATGATCTAAAACAACTACAACAGTCTATATTTTGAATTTAAGAACTTAGGTTGCTCTTATAGTGCACATTGTCAAAATGCCCATGAAAAAAGGTCTCGCTAACATTCAAAGGATGTAACTTTTCCAAATTCCTGTAGACCTGACCTTGACATTTCAAAGACTTCTGTACAAATCATGGAGCTTTTTTTTATATCTTTGGGCAGGAATTAAGAAAGCAATAGGAGCACTGTTTCCACCAGGTGGAAACTGTTGTGAATTATGCATAAGTGCTTTCATAGCTTTTATATATATATATGTGTGTGTGTGTGTGTGTGTGTGTGTGTGTGTTAAATAATGAATTAATGTGATTCTTCAGATTTGAAAATTCTTTTTAGGCCCTAAACCAATCCCAGCAAATGAAAAGCATGCTATAGAAAATGCTGATACTGCACCAACAGGCAAAACCAAAGTACATTGTGAAATCTGGGCTATGTAAAGCTTTTTTCTAGAAGCTGTCCATTTTGAATCAGTGATCCAAGACCAAAACGCATTGTGAATCAAGGACAGAGACACATGGTGTATATTTTATTTTAATTACTCAAAAAATTCAACATCACACCACAGCTTCCACAGTACACAAAAGCTAGGGGAATAGTTAATCATGTATGACTCATGTCAAACTACTGGAGGTGAACAGGATATTGTGGGGTCACCAGTCTTATGCCTTTGGCTGAAATACTAGGTTCGCTACTTCATGAATAGAGTTTCTTTTCATTATAAGTGACACAAGGAAATGGCAAAAAAAATGTACTAAAGCAACTCAGGCAATTGTGGCTATGCAGAAAAATCAGGAAATACTTAGAATTAAAGAAAAATCATTTTTACACATTGAAGTCTTTTTCCAACCACATGTTCAGGTAGCTTTCCTTTGATGTCTGCTTGACAGAAATAGAAATTATACTTTCCTGCTACGAGTCTGATGGTCTCCTGTGTTGTGAGGAACTCAATATGGCCTCAATCAACTCTTGATCCATCTGTTTTTTAGTCCTGGTAACAGGAAGAAACTGATATTATTTGAGAGGCTCCAATGTGAGAGTGGCATATCTATGACTAGCAATTTAATAAAATTTGAATAAGGTTTGTACAGTGTTTCATGCCTTTAAATTTTCTAGCAGAGCCGAAGAGAGCAGCTGCATAGTCTGTAATTACATAGCAAGTAATAAGGATATTTTATTTTTTCTTTCCTTTTTTTTTTTTTTTTTTCTGAAGAAGAAGAAGTTGGGAGATTTTCATTTACAAGTTAAAATTTGTGATGCACGATAATAACTGTTTAAACCTTTTGCACAGAAGAAGCTAGCAGTGCCAGCTCTTTGGGAGAGTGAGGTTAGCTCAGCAAATGTATTTTTCAGTTGCCTTAAAAATGACTGAGCAATCACTTGGGTCTTTTTATGCATTCCAGCCCAGAACAGCTGGC